TTTTCCTTTTTAAAATCAACTTTATTGGGGCGCCTGGGTGGCTCAGTTGGTTAAGCGACTGCCTTCAGCTCAGGTCATGATCCCAGAGTCCTGGGATTGAGTCCCACATCAGGTTCCTGGCTCAGAGGGAGCCTGCTTCTCCCTTTGACCCTCTCCCCTCTCATGCTGTTTCTCTCTCTCTCAAATAAATAAATAAAATCTTCAAAAGAAAATCAACTTTATTGAGGTATAATTTACACACCCTTTTTAAAGTTCAGTTGGATGAGTTTTGGCAAATGTATATATCCATGTCATCACCATAATCAAGATGAAGAATATTTCTATCATCCTAAAAAGTTCCTTTGTTCCCTTTTACAGTCAGTCCCCATCCCTTGACCCCCACCAGAGCTAGGACCTCACTGGAATTTGGGGAATCATTATTTTTAATGTAGACTTAATAGCTATAAGGACTTAGATTTGTGCTGCCAACAGAGAGCCATAGCCACACGTGGCTACTTAAATTTAATTAAAATTAAATAAAGTTAACAAATCAGTTCCTGTGTTACACTAGCCACATTAAGTCTAATAGCCACATGTAGCTAGTGGTTGCCATATCGGGCAGGACAGGCATAGGACTTTTCCATCACTGCAGATAGTTCTATTGGGCAATGCAGAGATGTTACCTAGGTGGAATTTGACCTTCGCCACATGAACGTAGGCTCAGCAGCCTACCTTAACTGACTGAGCCACCCAGCCACCCCTCTCTCTGCAACTCACAAAGTCCTCCTTCCGCCCTTTGAAATACCTTCTTCATGAGCCTTTTGAGAATTGCTCCTCTCTGTCCCCAGTTGCTGTCTGATACAGAAAACGCAAATGCTTTCTGGAGCCAGGAAGGTAGTATGTCTCAAGGGGACCTGGTATATGATGTTAGAGTAAAGTGCTGGCCACTGTGCAAAGATGTTCACATTCAAAAAAAAAGTTAAACTGCTGCTGGCCAAACAAAAACACATGTAAGCCAAGTTTGGCCACTGGCCACCAGTTTGCACTCACTTCTTGGCTAATTCTCTCTCAAATCACTAAGCAGCTGTGATATAGTGGAAAGAGTGAGTGAACATGGAAGAAAACCTTGATTCGAAGCCCAGCTCTGCTACTTGCTAGCTGGGTGGTAATAATGATGATAATAATGTTAACCTTCCAGAGTTAAGTCTTCTCATCTGTATAATAAAAACAATACTACCTATGTCACAGGATTTGTTTTTCTTAAAGATGTTATTTATCCATTTGACAGAGAGAGAGAGACACAGAGAGAGAGAGAGCACAAGCAGGGGGAGTGGCAGAGGGAGAGGGAGAAGCAAGCTTCCCACTGAGCAGGGAGCCCCATGTGGGGCTCGATCGATGTGGGGCTCGATCCCAGGACCCTGGGATCATGACCTGAGCCCAAGGCAGATGCTTAACCGACTGATGCTTAACAGGTGCCCCTCACAGGATTGTTTTAAAGATTAAGATAATATTCTTAAAAACACCCACCCTACAATAAGCCCTCAATAAATTTTTCATAGCATCTGTGATATTTATTTTCTTGTATTGTTTTGATCGATTATATGCTTTATTCTACCTGTATTTATGAACAGTTTGGTTGAGCCTATTTCTTCTGTTAGACTCTGAGTTCCTTTGGGTCAGGGATTTCCTTCTACGTCCCTTTAATTACCCACAGTACCTATTCAAGTAATTAAGTCCCTTGTACGTCCACTGTGAGATTCAACAAAAGCTTATGACTCAAAGTCTGATTGGGGGAGGAATCTGGAAGAACACAGTCAACTCTTAGTACAGATGTATATTTCATATAAGAAAGCATGTGGCTGGGGCGCCTGGGTGGTTCAGTTGGTAAGCGTCTGTGTTTGGCTCAGGTCACAATCCAGGGGTCCTGAGATTGAGCCCAGCCCCAGGGCTCCCTGCTCAGTGGGGACACTGCTTCTTCCTCTTTCTCTGCCCCTCCCTCCACTTGTGCTCTCTCTCTCTCAAATAAATATAATAATCTTTTAAAAAAAAAAGTATGTGGCTGACTTATAACGATTCCCAAAGTTATGATTCCCTTCCTTTTCCAACATAAAAGAGAAAAAACAATGATAGTTGTTCTCTTAAGTGGATGCCTCTTGCTTTTGCATTTACTAAGTTTGCTAACAGCAATACAGGAATTTTAGAAGTGTCATACTAGAAATTTATGGGGGGAAAAAGAGTTTCAGTTTTAACTGAATTTAACTGAACTAAATTACATTTTGGCAATTTAGATAGAAGTGATGCTGGGATAAAGGTGGTAGAAGAGGTATGTATCAGAGCAGCTAACACTAGGGGCTCAGCTCATTTTCCCATCTGGAATACTGAGACAAGAACAACAACTATTAGGAATCTCAAAAAGTTCTTGTGAAAGTTATTAGACAATTAAGGTCATGGAATTTGGGGAGAAGAGGAAGGAAGCATGTGTATCTCACATAAACAGGTTAGAAGCTTTCTGTACTCCTATGGCTTTATAAGAAACAGCATGTCATATTTTGTCCTAACAAAATTCTCTTACTTTACAGGTACCCATGCCTTCCAAATGCCTGTAAAAGACTAATTCACATATTGAACTTGGTATGGTTAATATCATTGCCCCTTGGGATGCCTGGGTGGCTCGGTTGGTTAAGTGTCTGCCTTCAGCTTGGGTCATGATCCCAGCCGGGGTCCTGGGATCCGAGTCCCACGTCGGGGTCCTTGCTTGGCGGGGAGCCTGCTTCTTCCTCTGCCTGCCGCTCCCCCTGCTTGTGCTTGCTCACTCTCTGACAAATAAATAAATAAAATATTAAAAAAAATCATTGCCCCTTTATTTGTGAGCTTTCTTCTTTCTGAACTTTGCATCTACAGACTCATTAAATAAGTGATTTGTAGGTTAAATGAACTAATTTAACTCCAGAATTGATTGAAAACTTAACTCCTCTCCTTCCCCCTTATTAACTATGCTTTATACCAGGGTATTTTATTTTTTCCTCTCAAAAGTATCATTCTTAAAACTAGGAGAACTATAGTAACAAATGGGTTTAAATGTCAGATTTAGTTTGGGAAAAAAGTTTCTAACTAATCAAGGTTCCAAATGGGGAAAACGGATCAGTCGAATGGACCGTGCTTGACAAGCCAGAGAGAGGCCACCCATTTCTTCAGTAGGGTTTTGTCAAGTATGATTTTGTCAAGTATGATTCAGAACGACACATTCAGATGCAACTTAAAAAATCTATTTCACTGTTCACATGTATTATCAATAAGGAAAATCTGCCTTGGTGATGTCAAGACATAAAAGTGCATGCCAGTGTGTACACTGCTGTTATCTTTCATGTGCTCTGAAGCTTTCATAATTCAATTCTTTAGATTCTGTATGAGGAAAATAAAATTTCACTGCAGGTGTAACTTCTCAGTAACAGAAGACAATGATTTCTACTTAATGGGCATATTCAATTTCTCAACTTATAAACACTCAATAAAAAATCAGTTCCAAGATCACATATGTAGTACCACCAAACTATTGTCAAAATAGAAATAAACAACTTTTCCTGCATGAATTAAGAAAAACTTTATTGAAAAAATTATCCCCTTTAAGTAACATTACCTATCTTATATGAAGGTAACATCATTTTTTGCATGGACCTGGAAGAACTGGGTGAGAAAATAACATTTGAAGACTTTCTCTTTCAAACATAATTCTTTTGAAGAAAACTGTAGACAATAATTAGGGTGAAAGTCAGTACTAATACCCTTTAGGAGTGTCTTACAGATGGTTCATTTCAAAGCATCAAATTCTATTTACTCAAAAAACCTAATAAAGTAAACAATTCCCTTGGCAGCTGCAGAAGACTCAAATGACCTCATGGATTGCACTGATGTATCTACTTTGTGCCAAATGTTTCAGAAATTTTGAGACAGTTCACTTATCTAAGGTTCAGAAAGCAAGAATTTCCAGAATAAGTCAAAGCGGCTGACTGTACAATAATAATTAAAACAATACTAGCTTTCAATTAACATATCAATGTGTTTTGCATGAAGAGGCAGTTTCCAAGCACACAATAAAGCTGTGCTGCCCTCTTAAGGGTAAACATCTTTACCACTCACTCCTTGAGTCACTAACAGACCCAGAGGCTTAACAAAAGGTCTGAGCTTAACTGCTCTTTTCTTTTGTAGAAAATAGTGTAAAAAGCACTCTTTGGGTCAGAAATACACTGGTGATTTGACCTTGGACAGGTCACTTAATTCCTAGTCTGTATCCATAACTGTAAATGGAGTCAACAATACCTGGTAACGTATTAATGGACTGGTGAGAGAATGAGATGATATATATGAACATATTATGTAAACTATAAAGCAACAGTAATGAGAAGTTAGTTATTATTTTATATAAAACTGGTCTAACCTTTCCTGCCTATATCCCTGTCTGTAAAATGGGTACAGATCTAGATCTGAATGCCTAACCGTCACTTACTGGCTGTGTGAACCTGCGGAAGTCATTTCCTTTCTGGACGTGTTTTCTAACAAGGTTATTATGAAGATCAAATGATACTGTGTTTGTAAAGGCTGCAACAGGAATATATTAAGAACTTAATAAACAGCTGTTACAACTCTCTGAGGAGAGGGCCGTAAGGAGCAAACTATATCTAGTTAAAAGGCTTTGTATGTATATATGACTCTATACGCATCCAAGGTATTGTTATTTGTACTGTAAACTGCAAAGACATACAGGGAACTAGGAAACAAATTGTGCCCCAGTTACCCTCAGTAGAGAGGGGAAAAAAGGCAGAAAAGGGGACTTAGGCACTCAGTGGCTTGGAATACAGGTAGGAATGAGAACAGAGAAGTGTGGCAGAAAAAAAGACCTTAAGAAATACTCCGAGAATCAATTCATTGTTTTCCCCCTTTTTCTTTTACGACCTCCAGTCTAGATTAGATCATTTCATTCAACTTCCCAGCCCGCCATATCGCTGGACATTTATTTACTGTACCTTCTTCACTGAGAGCCTTTCATTCCCCTCCCCTTCTAGGAGTCGTGAACTTCAGACCCTCCGCTTCCGACACCCATTCCCTTTCTGTTTTTACCAGGCTTCCCTGTATCCTCCTATCCGCCTAAGGGGGAAGTGAAGCTGAACGTACCGCAGGGCATCCTAGGAAATGTGGTCTCTCATTCTCTTTTGCTTGCGCTCTAGAAGTGGGAAGACGACAAAGGTGATCCAGTTAAAACTACAACTCCCAGCAAGCAACATGAGCGACTAGCTTCCTTTTTGCCCCCTCCTATTGCCTTCCTCTTCCTCCTCTCCGCGGGAGCTGAACCGCTTGGCCTCACGGTATTTGTAGTTCTTTCTGGATCCAAGATCCTAGCACTCAACGTCCGGAAGAGAGGCTGCAAGACTCTAATTCCCAGAGGGCAAAGCGGTGGCTGCGCCTGCGCACTCTCAGTGAGGGCGTGTATGTCTGTGTGTCTGAGGGAGAGAGAGAGCGAGAGTGAGTGAGTGTGAGTGCTGGGTAGGGTGGTGGCCGTTACGTTCGGGGCAACGGCTACGGCAGTGGAGAAGTAAGAAGAGAAACAACGTCCGGCGCTTCCGCCTTCGCTTAGGAGGAGGAGGAGCTGGTAGGGAAAGGAAAGTGATTCGCCCTGGGCCTGGACTAGACAGAGTCGGGCTGGTGGGGGTCTGGGCTATGAGCCTTTGAGGGTCGCTTGGGACGCGGAGCGAGACACGAGAGCCGAGAGGTATGTCTCAGCCGCCGCCGCCGCCTCCGCTGCCTCCGCCACCTCCTCCCCCCGAGGCTCCGCAGACTCCGCCGTCCCTGGCGGCGGCGGCTCCTCCGGGGGGGCTCTCGAAACGGAGAGACCGGAGAATCCTCTCCGGGAGCTGCCCGGATCCGAAGTGCCAGGCGCGTCTGTTCTTCCCGGCCTCCGGTTCTGTCAGCATCGAGTGTACCGAGTGCGGACAGCGGCACGAGCAGCAACAGCTGCTGGGGGTGGAGGAGGTGACCGACCCGGACGTAGTGCTACACAACCTGCTGCGGAACGCGCTGCTCGGGGTGACAGGGGCACCCAAGAAGAACACGGAACTGGTAAAGGTGATGGGCCTTTCTAACTACCACTGCAAATTATTGTCGCCCATATTAGCTCGCTATGGAATGGATAAACAGACAGGCAGGGCTAAGCTTCTCCGGGACATGAACCAGGGTGAACTGTTCGATTGCGCTTTATTAGGTGACCGCGCCTTCCTCATCGAACCAGAGCATGTTAACACCGTGGGCTATGGCAAGGACCGCTCCGGAAGCCTCCTGTATTTGCATGACACTCTTGAGGACATCAAGCGGGCCAATAAAAGCCAGGAATGCCTCATTCCAGTTCATGTGGACGGGGACGGACACTGTTTGGTGCATGCTGTGTCCCGGGCTCTAGTAGGCCGGGAGCTCTTCTGGCATGCCTTGAGAGAGAATCTTAAACAACACTTTCAGCAGCACCTGGCCCAGTATCAAGCCCTGTTCCATGACTTCATTGATGCCGCTGAATGGGAGGACATTATCAATGAGTGTGACCCTCTGTTTGTACCACCTGAGGGTGTTCCCTTGGGCTTGAGGAACATCCACATATTTGGCCTTGCCAATGTATTACATCGCCCTATTATTCTGCTAGATTCTCTCAGTGGCATGAGAAGCTCTGGTGATTATTCAGCCACCTTTCTGCCTGGGCTCATCCCTGCAGAGAAGTGCACAGGGAGAGATGGTCATTTGAACAAACCAATCTGTATTGCATGGAGTAGCTCTGGTAGAAACCATTATATCCCCTTGGTAGGCATAAAAGGGGCTGCTTTGCCCAAACTGCCTATGAATTTGCTGCCTAAAGCGTGGGGTGTGCCTCAGGACCTTATTAAAAAGTACATTAAACTTGAGGAGGATGGTGGTTGTGTTATTGGAGGAGACAGAAGTTTGCAGGATAAATACTTACTTAGGCTTGTTGCTGCTATGGAAGAAGTCTTTATGGACAAACATGGTATCCATCCTAGTTTGGTTGCTGATGTCCATCAGTATTTCTACAGGAGGACTGGGGTGATAGGAGTTCAGCCTGAAGAAGTCACAGCAGCTGCTAAAAAAGCAGTAATGGATAATCGCCTTCACAAATGTTTGCTCTGTGGTGCCCTTTCTGAACTTCATGTTCCTCCAGAGTGGTTGGCTCCAGGAGGGAAACTGTATAACCTGGCAAAAAGTACTCATGGACAGCTGAGGCCTGACAAAAATTATAGCTTTCCCTTGAACAATTTAGTTTGCTCATATGATTCAGTGAAAGATGTTCTGGTACCAGACTATGGATTGAGTAACCTGACAGCTTGTAATTGGTGCCATGGCACATCTGTGCGAAGGGTCAGAGGAGATGGGTCTATTGTGTATTTGGATGGGGACAGAACTAATTCTAGGTCCACTGGTGGCAAATGTGGTTGTGGATTCAAACATTTTTGGGATGGTAAAGAGTATGACAATCTACCAGAAGCTTTTCCTATTACTTTGGAATGGGGTGGAAGAGTGGTCAGAGAAACAGTATATTGGTTCCAGTATGAAAGTGATTCATCTTTGAATAGTAATGTTTATGATGTTGCAATGAAACTTGTTACCAAGCACTTTCCAGGTGAATTTGGGAGTGAAATCCTAGTTCAGAAAGTTGTCCACACTATATTGCATCAGACTGCCAAAAAGAATCCTGATGATTATACTCCTGTAAATATAGATGGTGCTCATGCCCAAAGAGTCGGAGATGTACAAGGACAAGAGTCGGAATCTCAGCTCCCAACTAAAATTATTCTTACTGGACAGAAAACAAAAACTTTGCACAAGGAGGAGTTAAACATGAGTAAAACTGAAAGAACTATTCAACAGAATATTACGGAACAGGCTGCTGTAATGCAGAAACGGAAAACAGAGAAGTTAAAACAAGAACAAAAAGGGCAGCCCAGGACTGTTTCTCCTAGTACCATTCGTGATGGTGCATCCTCTGCACCTGCTACCCCTACCAAGGCTCCCTATTCACCAACAACTTCTAAGGAGAAAAAGATCCGAATAACAACTAATGATGGACGGCAGTCCATGGTTACACTTAAGTCTTCAACAACCTTTTTTGAACTTCAGGAAAGCATAGCCAGAGAATTTAACATTCCTCCATATTTACAGTGTATTCGATACGGCTTTCCTCCTAAAGAGTTAATGCCACCCCAGGCAGGAATGGAAAAGGAGCCAGTTCCTTTACAGCATGGTGACAGAATTACAATAGAGATTCTAAAAAGTAAAGCAGAAAGTAGTCAGTCTGCTGCAGCACACTCGGCCCACACTGTGAAACAAGAAGAGATTGCTGTTACTGGTAAACTATCTAAGGAACTTCAGGAGCAAGCTGACAAAGAAATGTACTCCTTGTGTCTTTTAGCAACATTAATGGGTAAGATCATTTTAACCTAGATGGTTATTTCTTAATTGTGAATATAATGCATTGAGTTTTTCTGTTGTCTTCGTGAAAAAAAATCTGTGGTCATCGTAAAAACTCTTCAATTATATATATAGTTTAGGAGGAGATTATTTTCTTTAGGTTTTTTTTTTTTTTTTTTTTTTACAGTTAATGGATATATGTTAGCATGATTCTCTACTAAAGTCAATATTTAGGACAACATAACTAAGAAAGTGAAAGTAGTCTCTTAACTGTCACCAGATTATTTAAATATAATTTATTGTTGTAAATTTTTTTTAATAGCCTTATAGTGTATCTATTTAAAACGTTTTAAAATATTTTACCTCCTGGGCTCTATTGAGCCTGCCCACTTTGTCCCTTTTCATTTATTTTTAAATTTTCTTTTCCTGCATGTCATGTGATTTCAGGACTTCCTGTTTGATGAATTGCAGTTTCTGGTGTTTATATTCTCACTGCTCTCCCACCTAATAGTCTCTGTCCTCCATTTCCTGTTCTTCCTTTCCCAGTTCATCACATTTTTATTTGTACATTAGGATTTGTGCTTAAGTTATTTCCTTGCTTACTGACTCTGTGCCATCAATTGTAATAAACTATTATAACTCATGAGAAATACAAGAAACAGGTAGATGTTAATGGGGTTGCTTAAGAAGCATTTCTTTTTAATAATTCAGCATAAATTAAATATATCAACTAAATATGTAATCTAAAGCTTTAGATGATTTGGGATATGATCCAATGGTGCACTTCTAACATTATTTTTATTTGCTTAATCTTTATTTTCAAAATCACTCTTAATATGCTTTACTAAGGCTTAAAGTAGAATTAAAATTTATGTTACATATTAGAAGAGCCTTATTTTTGCTGAGATTAGAGCTTTTAACTGGAAAAGTGATCTGGGTTTTGATTCTTTTTTCTAAGAGTAGTAAATATCAGTGAATTGGGCCTTGACCTACCAAAATGAAGATTATTTATTCCTGGCTTGTTAAATTTGGGGGCCTAGAAGTTAATAGGAGATTTAAAAGCTCTGTACACATTTATAACTTGATATTGCTGATTTTATTTTGGCAGACATAGCCATCGAATTGGGGGATATGTCAAGAAATGTACTAGGCACACTGTATTTCTGTCTCTTAGGGTTTCTGGTTTCTTAGAGACTACATGAAAGATTGTGTGATCTTTGGAGTCAGAAAGACCTAGAATTTGAATCTTGGCTCCACTGCTTATTAACTTAGTGATTCAGGCAAGCTGCTTAACTCCCCAATACTTTCAGTTGCCTCTTCTCTACAAAATACCCTTTGTAGTTGGGACACAGGGCAACAATAAAATACTCCTAGAACTCTGAAAATTAAATAACATCGGCAGAGAATGGATAAAATTAGGTATATGCAGAAGGTACTTTAAAAACTAGCAATCTCCCAGGTAAAAAACAGGAAAGAGAAGGTCTTCCTCAATAGAAGATGAACTCTTGAGGATGTGGCTGATCTCTTATCTAAACTTGGATGCTCAGTACCTAGTATAGTGCCCAGCAGGTTGCAGGCACTTTGAAATGTTTTTGATTGCATTAAATAGATGACATTAACATGTCTAAAGAAAGGCTGTGTCAGCAGAAATGGAATGGATGGTCAGCATTGAACGTTGAAAAAGAGTTGAAAAGCAGAATTTGGCACT